GTTGTATAAGCTGCTAACTTTTTTCTTTGCCTGTAAATAGGTCAACGAAGGTATCGGAAAGTACCTCGTCACCTGTGTTGGTCCAAACTCTTTCCATGGACGCACCATGATGGGTACGTTTTGAAAATTCTACTTATTCTTCTCACCTTTTAAGTCAAGAGTATTTAACATTTCTCCATCGAATTTGCAACAAACAGCACTTCGAACCGAAATGGAAGACACACCTCTTCAAATTAAACTCGACGCTGTCGCTGAGCGAATCGCCAAACTGGGTCTCTCAGTCGCAGTTCTCATGTTTGTCGCCCTCCTGATCAAATACATTGTCACCGTCCTTCGCACCAACGGTTTCGGAAACTCGGTACCCGCTCAAGAATCAGGTTCAGAAGTCGCAACAACGTTACTTATGATCATCATCAGTTGCATCACTGTTATTGTTGTCGCTGTTCCTGAAGGTTTACCTTTGGCTGTTACTTTGGCTTTGGCGTTTGCCACGACCAGGATGCTCAAGGATAATAACCTTGTTAGGGTTTTGAGTGCTTGTGAAACTATGGGAAATGCTACCACGATTTGTTCTGATAAGACGGGAACTTTGACTCAGAATAAGATGACTGTTGTTACTGGTGTTGTGGGCAAGAATGTTATGTTTGAAGGTGATGAGGAGGTTCGAGAGTTACGTAAGAGGGTTGATACTCTTGCTAAATCACCCTCTGCGGATCCAACTGAAGCTCTTGTCGATTCAAATGTTAAACATGATGGTCCCGATGGTGGGAGGTTGATGGATGTTGTAATGGAAGGTGTTGCAATTAATTCTACGGCATTTGAAGGGAAGGATGAAGAAAGTGGGGAGGTTACTTTGATTGGGTCAAAGACTGAAACTGCATTGTTGCAATGGCTTGTTAAATGTGGGTATGATTTTAAGACGTTGAGAGGTAGTCAAACTGTTACTGTTGAACAGGTTTACCCTTTCTCCTCTGAAAAGAAGTCGATGGCTACGCTGGTTAAAGTTTTGGTTCCTGGAAAGAAACCGATTTATCGGATTCATGTCAAGGGAGCTTCGGAAATCGTGTTGAGATCTTGTAATCGGTTTGCATTGTTACCGTTTTCACCTTCACCAACTGCGGTTCAAACTGCTATCAAAACCGGTACGAATAATCCACCTTTGGATCGGGTTCCCGTTGCTGGATCAAGATCAAATCCGACTCATCCCATTGTGACCACTGTTGATCCTAAAGATGGGAAACCAAGAAAGGACTATGAGGAACTTATTGAACGGTTTGCATCACAGTCTCTCCGAACTATTTGTTTGGCTTATAGGGAGTTTACGGAGGAGGAGTTTTTGGGATTGGTTAGGGGGACTGTTAGAGAGAAGGTTTTGGCTGCTAAGAAGGCCGAGGAGGAAGAGGCTAGATTGAGACATGGAGCTGGTGTGGATGAACCTGAAGTTTTGAAGGGGGAGTTACCACCACCAAGTCCTTCTATTGGGAACTCCACTATGGGGTTACCTTCGACACCTACTGATCAACCACAATCGCAGAATTCGCGGTCGATTTCTGGAATGTTGTTGGAAATTCCTAATAGTGGTGTGAATGCTGAAACGAGATCTTTTGTTTCGGATTCTGATGATGGGAGTGGTGCTGGTGGGAGGAATTCAGAGGTTGGTGCGGAGTTGAGTGATAAAGAAATTTTGGCAGATCCTGTTGCGTTGGCTGAATTAAGTCGACATTTGATTTGTGCTGCTGTTGTTGGGATTGAAGATCCGTTACGTGCGGGTGTTCCTGAAGCTGTTAAACAGTGTCAGGATGCTGGTGTCTTTGTAAGGATGGTTACTGGTGATAATGTTAGCACTGCTAGAAGTATTGCTACTAAATGTGGGATTCTGTCACGGGGTGGTCTTGTTATGGAGGGTTCTTATTTTAGGAATATGTCGCCTGAGGAGATGGCGGAGAAGTTGCCGCGGTTGCAGGTTCTTGCAAGATCTTCACCTACTGATAAGCAGTTGCTTGTTAGTAATTTGAAGGCTCTGGGTGAGACTGTTGCTGTTACTGGTGATGGGACCAATGATGGGCCGGCGTTGAAGATGGCGGATATTGGATTTAGTATGGGGATTGCCGGGACTGAAGTTGCAAAGGAGGCTAGTAGTATTATTTTGATGGATGATTCGTTTGCTAGTGTTGTTAAGGCCATTTCGTGGGGTCGGTGTGTGAATGATGCCGTGAAAAAGTTTTTGCAGTTTCAGTTGTCGGTAAACGTCAGTGCTGGTGAGTGGATTTTGGTTAACTGCATTTTTTTTCTTTTTTACAAAGTCATGGAGTATTTGCCTGATATTCTCTTCCTCTTGAACAATTCAGTCGTCATTACTGTCGTTTCCGCGCTCGCCGATTCTGGTGAAAGTTCTGTATTAACTGCCGTTCAACTTCTTTGGGTGAGTTTATTTTCTTACTTTATTCCGTATTTAAACGCGAACGACATATTGATTTTGTAACCCCCCTTTTTTTGTTGCGGAATGTAGGTCAACTTGATTATGGATTCTTTGGGTGCTTTGGCCTTGGCGACTGAGAAACCAACCCCTGATCTGTTAAAGCGGCCACCCGAGAGCAAGAAAACTCCATTGATTACTTTTGCTATGTGGAAGATGATTGTCGGTCAGGCTATTTTGCAAATCGTGCTGAATTTAGCATTGTTGGTGAGTGTGACAATCAATTTTCCTTTTGCTTATTTGAAAACATGTTTGGGCAAGGCTGACATAATCGATTTTTTTACTCTTTTAGTTTGCTGGACCTCAATTGTTCGAGTTTGATGAACTTGTGGCTGTCGGAGGTGTTCTTAACGTTAAAAAGGGAACTGCATCCGACATTGTCAAGAGTCAAAAGAATATGCTGAGAACCGTCGTCTTCAACTCTTTCGTGTTCTTGCAAATCTTCAATTTGATCAAGTGAGTATCTATGGGATTGTGTTTTGCTTTTCTTTTCTGCTGTGTTTGTCAGTTTCTAACGAATACGTCTTACTATTACCCAGCTGTCGTCGTTTGGATTCCCGAATCAACGTGTTTGAGAGAATCTTTGGTAACCCATACTTTGTTGCTATTTTCGGTGCCGTTGCTGTCGGTCAGGTCATTATCGTTGAGTTTGGTGGCAACGCTTTCCAAACTGTCCCTTTGAATGGAAAGCTCTGGGCTATTTGTGTTCTTATCGGTTTAGTCTCTCTTCCTTGGGCTATGGTCATTCGTCTGGTATGTTGTTTTATTTTTGCGTGATTCACTTCTTGACTGGAACATTTTTAACATATTTTTAATTTTTTGACAATGACAGTTCCCCGATGACCTTATTCGAGACTGGTTCAAGCAGCGCAACCACACTGCGCATGATGATATCGAAGCCAGTCTTCCAAGCAGCCGAAATTCAATGGCCGAGAACAGAGAAATGCCTCTTCAAGCAGTCAGTAACCGTGGCTCTGTTGCTCAGTTTATAAATGCCCCACCAACTCGAGCCGGGCCCTCAGGCGGCGATCAACGTCGCCAGGTTCCACTTCCTATTGTGACCACCAAGCTCGCCACGCCTCAGGATTCTCCTGATGGACCTCACTTGCCAACTTCCACGAGTACAGGTGCAGCTTCAGTTGACGGCGGGCGAAGAGAATCCATCACCGCACGGGAACAGTGGGGTCAAGCTATTCGGACTGTTCAAACCGAGGTTTCGGTGTTCAAAACATTGCGTGGAGAAGCTAGACGGAGACAGCGCAATGATACTATTTCGTCTATTGGATCTGTTGGGTCAAACCATACTACTTCTTCATTTGAAGGCGCGTCGGTGCATCCGTCCGCCGTTGCTGTTGCCAATATTGCCGCTAGGGGACATGCTGCCAGACCTTCTAGTAGATTGGGTTAATGTGATTCCCATAAAATACTTTACATTTCCCTATGTTGATGCCTTTCTGTTCTTTTTTGTTGTGTTCCTACTTGTTGTCTTTTCTGAGCCATTTCTTTTGACTTTTTTTGTATGTTGAGTTTCTTTCTAAATATAGTTAGCTCTGTTATACCAGTGTTTAAAAATGGTATTTGAGAACATTCCAGTGCTTTCAATTTTGTTTTTCTCCTTCAATGTCCAATTTACAACCTACATTATGTGGAGTGAGCATCACATGTGGAACGATGTTTGTTCGTTCAATTTTTACACCCGGTAAAATTGAATTTAAGCAAGAAGTGGCATGCATGAGTTCCTTGAGTAAAACTGAGAAACATGAGTTGGTTGAATCTTATTCCGCTGTGTTGTTTGTTCAATTATTTGATGCGTTCCATTAAGGATTTATGTGGTGTTCTGATGACAGCACAGAAAAACGCGCAAAAAGACTTGGATGGAGAGACAGGCATAAAGGCAAGCAAATATATTACTTCTAAAAGTTAAACGTTGAAATGGTGGCGTAGGTTTGTGTTTATCGGCGACAGGGGCTTGCAACACGCTCAAAAATGACAAATCCTTCGGCATTTACTTTGTCTTTAAAACCATCGGCGATATCATCCGACTTCTTCAAATATCTACAAAGTGTGTGAAGTTTAGGTTTCTAGTTATAAACTCTTAGTAACGGAGCGTTGGCAATAGGTTCATAAAATTACCAACTGTGAAAAAGTTTGCGAGAGTTTGCTGGCAACAGTTTTAGTCGACATCAACTTCCTAGTTATCAACTCTCGCCGAACTTTCCGACACAACAAGTCGGTATGGCTGAATACTGGCACTTCAACTTCTGATGCCAACACGTTGTGAGGTGCGCCATTCGATCAGAGGGAGAGGCACAAGGTAACGAAATAGTTTTGCAAAAAAACAAAATAGCAATCAAGCTCAATCCGAAGAATATCGGGATAACGAAGTCGACATGGCGCAAGTTAGTGGGCAACAGTTTCAAAAATCTACCAAAATGTCAAATGTGAAGCGAGAAATTCATTGGCAAGTTCTCACCAAAATTAACAGTCCAATTATCAATTCTTGCAGAACTTCCCAACGCAAGAAGTCGATATGGCCGAGCGGTCTAAGGCGTTAGACTTGAAATCTAATACTCTCTGAGTGCGCAGGTTCAAACCCTGCTGTCGACGATTACTTTTTGATGGTTTTCGTGTACTTTGGGTATGCAAATTCGGACATTTCCAACTCTTTTTAAACATATTTTTTTGCCTTCAATTGACATGTCACGATGTTGGACGTCTCAGTAAGAGAATTGAAAAGCTTTTGTTTCTTTGGCCTTACTTTATGTCAGTTCTAAAGGGCAGGGAGACTGATTTTCTCATTGATATGTACCTTAAAAAAAACAATGACAATGTGGCAAAGAAGACAGGACCTGACCTCCAAGCAACCATTGTTTGAATTTGTGTGTCGACTCAAGAACACCACTTTACCCAAATTCAACCCCACCTCCGGTTGATTAAAGTTCTCGGTACCCGAACAACAAAGGAGTGTCCTCGAAACGCCGAAACACAAGCGCAACCCACTACAAATGATGGGAAGGGGAAACAGATGTGTGATTGCTGTAAATATTGCTGCTATTCCCAATGCAATAACTTGGCGGTGGTGAAACAGTATTCAGAAGGGAACTTTGTATATGGTGACATCATGGACACACATGAATGCTCGCTGGGTTCATTTAAAACTTTGCAAGGTTGTTCCAAAAAGTACAAAGTAGATATCGATTGCAGCGTTATTGAGTTTGTGAGAGTTTTTTGAGCAGCGGTTAGTATCGATTTGGCAAATCGATAATTAAAAAGACAAGAGATGCAGCAAGATGCCGCGTTGCGAGCCTTAGAAATTGATAAATAAATCAAAAATTGATGGTACATCGTTCTGAAAATATTCAAGAACTAAAAAAACATGCAATTGAGTTGAAAGAAAGAAGCAAGGATCGTAAAGAAAAAAGAACGTGAACCGAAAATTCAAAAAAAAAATACGCGTCAACTGCAGGATTTGAACCTGCGCCCTCAGAGAGGATTTGATTTCGAGTCAAACGCCTTAGACCACTCGGCCAAATTGACGCTTGGAGTTGGAAGGAGATCAACATGACTGAGTCATTAAGAAACCTTTACGTGAATGAAACGCGATTTTTTCTCTCTGGTGTGAATTGTTTCTTTGCAAACAACCAACAAACTCAATCTTTGACACAAAGAAAATTCATTTTCATATTTGCAAGGTTGTTCACTCCACAAAAAAAAAAAAAAGCAAAATGGCACTCTACAAAAAAGGGTAAACATTTAGATAATCACAAAAGTGCTGTTGAAAGAACAGTGCCGAGGAAAAAAAAAAAGATAAAACAAATAGGTTCGAATCAAAGGATAAGGAACTTGCGAAAACCCAACTTATTGCGAGAAGAATCACTCGGACAGGGAAGAGAAAAAAAGACATAAGAACACAAATAATACAAAGCAGAACTCCCAGCATTCAATAAAAAAACGCCAACTTTCGATAACCGCAACAAAATATCCCCGAAAAGATATCCGTTTACAAATGCGAGCACAAATAGATACAAAAGCGAGCACAAACAAAATAGTCACAATAAAATAAAAGAAGAAAGAAAACATTCACAATAAACTAAATAAAACATATACAAAAACATAATAAAGTCATAGATCCATTCGAATCCCTTCATTTAACAAGACACCGCATAGAACACACATAAATCCACCAGTCATAAACAAACTTAGACGCAAACATTATCACACCACCCGCTTCCTTTTCGACGCAGACGAAGAGACATCAAGACCATCACCGCTCCTTCGTTTTTCCCTCCTCTCCTCAAGTGTAGACACGCGTGCATCCGCCATTTTCTCAGCTCTCGCATGAATATCCTCCATATCCACCTCCTTTGACAAATACGTCCCATCAAAGATATCGACAAACGTACACAGAGTCTCTACCATTGAGCTATCTTCAGTAAGTCTAGAAACCGACGCGTCGGATGCGATGTTGAAAACCGGTCCCCAACTAACACCACTCTTATCACTCGCATCCTTTTCAAGTTTCATTGCGACCCTCTTGACCTTGGCGAAGTTTGGATTCGTAGATCGTTGAAAGAGCACCTTTGGATGTTCCCTCCCTGACGTACTGATTTCAAGCGTACACTTCACCATCACACCATTTTTCTCACTGCTCTGCCCCACCCATGCATTTCCAAGTTCCTTCATTTGCTGCTTAGTTAACTTGGTAAAGGACTTCAGATTGATAGAGAAAAGGACACCATCGATACTGACTTGAAATGATGGGTTCTTGTCAGTTGTACGTCTAATAAGTGCCCGCTGAACTCCAACTGTTGTTATAGAATTGACCAATGCACGTCGCTTTCTCTCCTCTTTTTGCACATTAGATATAAAACTGCTAACATTCCCATGCACAAGACGCTCCCTGTTTCTCGGATCCACAGCAAACCTGTCAAGTCCATTGAAACCATCGCTATCGATCTGGGCTGCCTGAGACGCCATCCCTGCCGCTGAACACTCCAATTTGGACAATCTGTTCCCCAGCGACAAAGTTCCATTTAAACCTTTGAAGTTAGCATGGTTGCTGTATCCAAAGCGCTTGGTGACCGATTCCACATTTGCGTTACGGAAGACACGACAGAGAACAATTAGCACGACTTCAAGAAGCAATATATGATTATCAGTAATGCGCGAGTTGTCTTGATTCTTTGCTTGAAAAGGAATTCTGAAGTCTAAAGTTGCGTTTTCCTTCCCTGCTGTTTTGCGGACGGCGTCGAAGTATTTGTAGAGCCGAGGATATGACGAACCTTCCTTCCCTTCTTCAACGTCCTTTTTCAAACGATTTCGGTGATTGAAACTGCGATGCTCCCCGACCCTCTTTGCTAAGCCACTCTCATCCCGATGTGATGACCCAACGTACCCATGTCCATCCAGTATCCCAATGTAGTCCCCTTTGCCTCTATCGTCGGTAGTCACTTTTGGTAATTCTTTTATGCTGCTAGGATCGTAGAACTTGCAACCCTTTTGAAGAAACTCTTTCGTCGATCGTGGTAACTCATTTTCGAACAGGCTGGTTAAGTCTTTAACAGTCGACCCAGCCAACAGTTCTCGCATCCCAGGATGACCGTTCTTTCCTTCAAGATCCATCAAAGCTTTTACCATCACCAATCCCTGAGATAACGCGAACGGGTCTGAGGCATCTTCTTTCACTGCATTTGTCAAGTTTTCAAAGAAAAAATCCAACGTTCGTCCGCTTTCATGAACACGGTGCTTGGAAGCTGCAGGTGGTGCTGTCGATGTCAAATCACTCGTGGATATTGCCGGTGAAACGCTGTTGGCTTCGATATTGAGAAGTCTGTGATAGCAAAGGCAGAGAGGAAAAATGACAATTTGAAGAATAGTGATCAGTTCGCTGAACAACAACTTAGTAACGAAAATATATAGCTCTCAATCAGCTACCTCGCGAGTCCACTGGTGGTGTTGGTATTGGGGATGTTGATCATGTCCGTGATATTGGTGTTGGCTTTTATTGGAGTGTTTTTGGTATTATTGCCGGCGTGATTGACAATTGACTGAACGACCGACTTGAGGTAATCGCGAGATGGTAATTGAAGGCACAATAAACAAAGTAAATATTTGTTTCATTCAAAAAACTTGAGCGACTCAATTCAAACAAATATGACATGATCCCCACCTGTTGTTTCCCTTGACGTTTCCTGTAATTTGAGTTGGAGGGAGCGTCAAAGGCATCGTCGTCGTCAGTAAACACGTTTTCTTTAACGAATTTAACGGGGACTTTAGATCGTTGTCCTTTTGTGATGGTGTTCATGTTGTCGGCAGTCGGTTGGGTGAAAAAAAAAAGGTCCGAACTGTGAAGAAAGAGAAAACTGACATAACATATACACGTATGTAAAGAATTAGTGACGTGTTGGATAACTTAGATTGAACCAACGAAAGAATGTGACAGGTTATCAACATAGTATCAACCAGCAAGTATGATTGTGCCATAGCAAATACATTGTGCAAGAAACAAATGTAAGTCCCGGCAGTTGATGAAAGGGTTCCTTCTGAATTCCAGAGTGCAAACACATTCGATTACAACATCAAAAATACGGCAAATGTCAGATAGCAACATCTCCAAACAAATCCATACAGTATTTGAATGTTCCAAAAGTTCGAACACCCGTTTTCATAATGCCATCCAGCAAAATGACGCCTTGACCAGCATTTAAATGATTAACCGAACCAAACCATCTCAGTCATCAAGCAACATACGGTATACTTACCAATGTCCAACGAAAATCGAAATTGATGCTTGGGGTTCCTGTTCAGGAATGGAAAAACTGAATCAATACTGAATGGAAAAAGGGAATGAACATTGATTTTGCTTGTGTATTCACTCCATTTCAATCGAGATGACTTATGTTTATCAACAAGAAAAACAAGCAAAGTATGGTAAAATTAATGGGGTTCCACTGAAGTAAAAGTAAAGTTGCAAACAACAATCAACAGAGATCGATGCATTCAGTCGATCAACAAACAGTATCGTCTTCTCAACAAAGTGAAGAGCCATACTGAATCAAAATAAAACAAGAGCAAGGGGTCATCAACAAAGGCATGTGGATGTACATACTGATGTTGATGTGTCAGTTGATGTGATATTGAATGAGCTGAGAAGACAAACACACCATGGCAATTGGGATGAACATGAACTGTGGATTTATTTGTGAATAATGAATTGGATAGAATAGATATGTGAGTGTGAATTCGGATGGTTTTGCTGCAGATGATCTAACAGTACTTACTTTGCAACCGACCAACGAAAGAACGGATGTGGGAGTTTGTGGGTTGGTGGGTTGGGTGGGGACGGCAAGGAGAACAGCAAGGAGCGTGTCCGGATTCAAGCGAGAGGGAACAAAAAAAAAAAAAAAATGTTAAGGCGTAGCACTCGAAATGCTATATCCTCTGGATGCGCAGGTTCAAATCCTGCAGTTAACGCTTTTTTTGTTTCATATTTCGTTTGCGTATTGTAGTTCTTTTTTTTTCTTCGATCATCTTCCCTTTTGGCGTTCTGCCTTGGCATGTCACATATACAGATGCTCTCCTGCTGGAATACTTGTTAAGTTAAAAGAGGTCTGTATCTTCCTGCTGTATATAATAGGACGCGAGCGCTCGTCCCTTCACGCCTTCGGCGCAAGGACAAGCTATGCATAAACATGCAGTTTTGCACACAGGACACAATTATGAAGCGGCAGTTTTAAGATTCGCTTTGTGTCTTTGTCTGGAAATATTTAATATGCCGCGAAGGCGCGCAGGGACGAGCTATCCGCATAATTTGCAGTCATGCAAATATTAACGACACGTGCCAATACCAAACGGAACAACTTTTCTGACCACAAACTTCATTTTAGTAAGTCCTGCCCGGAACGCACGATTAAAATTGGGTATCTGAGCTGGGGTCGTTTTACGAGCGCTTTGTTGCCCCACGATAACGAGCGAATTGCTTGCTAAAACTATAATAGAGAATAGAAAGACAGGTTAAAAAAAAATGCCAGTTGGCACAAAGAATGAAAATATACGGAATCAAAAATCTTCATTGACAAATTGTGTACTGTCTCTTTCGCATACAACCATCAAAACTTGAATAGACTGTTCACCAAACTAGCAAAAAACACAAAACTACAACCTCAAATAGAAGACTAAAAAAAAAAACCTCTGAAGAAAAAAATCAGAAACTTAGAACTCAAAAAGTCATAAAAAAATAAATCAAGTCCTTGAGGTCTCAAACACAGCAAATCCGCTAATGTTACAGAAACAGTTGACAAACAAATCAAAATGACAGAAGAGAAGAAATGGTAATTAAAACTAATTTCAGCAACTAAGAAAAACTTAACAAATAACAGCTTGCAAACCAAACAATGAAAAAAAAAAAAAAAAAAAACAATAGAGGAGAGACGAGAACAGAGTCCTAACAACGAGGGACTGGGAAGAAAAAGGAAGTCCAAAGGTGAATTACAACAAATACGAAGAAAGAAAGAAAGAAACAAAGAAAGAAAGAAAGAAACAAAGAAAGAAAGAAAGAAAGAAAGAAAGAAAGAAAGAAAGAAAGAAAGAAAGAAAGAAAGAAAGAAAGAGACACATAAAACATAAACTCACAAACTTAAAAAAAAGAGGCAAGACAATAAGATAAACAGAGCTTCCACCTGAACAAAACCCTGTTTAATATCCTCCCTGATACCCACTCTGACCACCTGGTGGTGGCTGTTGCCCCTGCTGTCCAGAATACCCACCCGCATATCTCTGTCCCTGCATTTGCGAAGGCGTCCTTGCAACACCAGGCGCACCACCTTGTCCAGCTTGTCCCGGCTGTCCAGGTTGCTGTTGATAGTACCCCTGCGCAGCAGCCGCCTGATAATAAGCCTGATATCTAGGATCATTTGCATACATTGCGTATCCCTGCGCTGTTGCAGGTACAGTACCAGCACCAGCACCAGCAGCACCACCGCCAGCCGCGGCGGCAGCTTGAGCTTGTTGATATTGTTGGTAGTATTGTTGGTATTGTGCATAATATTGCTGAATGTATCGTGGATCTTGTTGATATGCTGCTGCGTTTTGCGCGTATTGTTGGTAATAGCGGGGATCATAGGCGACTTGCTGTTGCTGTTGTCCCGGTGGTTGAGGAGGTTGAGGAGGCTGTTGTGGAGCTGCACCGGTTTGGGGGGCCAAAACTGGGGACCGTGGTGGTTGTTGTTGAGATTGAGGTTGTGAGTATCCGGCATATGGTTGGTTGGCGTATGGAGATTGTTGATGAGGATGTTGATGATGTGGTTGTTGTTGATTCTGTGGGTGGGGCTGTTGCGGTGGGTGATGGGGTTGTTGTTGTTGATGGTGTTGTTGATGTTGGGAGTACTGTTGTTGTTGTTGTGGTTGCTGTTGATGGTGAGGAGGGTTGGCTCCCTTTGGTGAAGGAGGAGTTCCTTGTTGATAACCTTGAGCTGCTTTAGGTGATACTGGCGGGTGATCAGGACGAGGGGCAGGAACGAACTGAGGACCAGGTTGTTGTCCATGAGGGGACACGGGGGATGGAGGCGGCCTTTGTTGGTGCTGTTGTGGTGGTTGTTGGGGTTGTTGTTGAATTTGGTAAAACGGCGGAGGTTGTTGCTGCTGTTGTTGCTGCTGCTGGGGCGCCATATTGGGAGACTTTGGTGCTTGCGGTTGCGCATTAGAAACCGCCAATTTTCCCATCTTTTCCGAAACAGAATCAGCAGTAACAGAACCCTCCACGTCCCTATAATCCGGCTTGTTGCCACTTGAATATGAAGGAAGACTTCCATTCGTCTCACCTTCAACATCAGTCATAGACGGCGGTTTAGGCATCCCTCCCGCCTCTTTGACAGGCGCAGCAAGCGGCGGCAACTCCTTTGGTCTTTCCTTCTCCTTGAGATGATACAACACGAAACCTTTCCGTTTCCTCTCAACAAGCACAATCAAATTACCCGGTCTCGAAGCCACCAATTTAACACTAGCATTAGCATCAATTCTCAGCACCTGAGCAATCTTTGCAGTTTTCCAATCTGCAATTTCAATGCTGTTTTTACCAACAGCCACAACATAATCTATCGGTCTCATAACAAGATCACTAGGAGGTTCCATCCACGTAACACCATCTTTCCATCCACCAACACCCGATCCCATCATAGGCTGACTAGCAACATCGACAACTCTCGTAGACCGATGGAACGTGGCAAGGAAATATCGATCGACTCGTGTTGATGCCGCATTCTGATGCGCATTAGCACCTTGCACTGCCGCCAATTTCCGATTAACAGTAGCTTGAGGTCTAGACATAGTTCGTAACTCCAATCTTTTCGCCTCCGAGAATGGAATCTGAACAAAACTTTGCCATCGTGCCATAGATAACCTCACACCAGTATTTGTAGCCGATTTCTGAAACTCACGATGAACATTCACCTCTCGAACTTTTGAATCGTTTACTTGTACCAAGTTGGCTTCAGCAGCATAAGCCATGTAAACCTCTCGAACAATTAATCCATCATGAAGCAAGTTCATAAATTTAGGAGATTCCGGTAACCAGAATGCCTTCAATTTCATAAACTTGAGGTAAGGTTCTTTAGCCCATTCAAACAAGATCACATCCTGTCTAAACAAAACGCCCATATAAATCGAAGTCTCAGTTCGTTGAATCAAGAAAGATTTCGAATCCTTGGTAGCAACAATCTTGATGTAATCACTAGTCCATTTAGCAACAAGCATAGCCTCATCATCAATTGTTGGTTCCTGAACAGCTCGATAAACATCATCATCACTATCACCCTCTACAATCAACTGCCCATTTTCAGTTAACGAAATCTCATTATTCATATTCGTACGAGCTAATTGTCTTGCATTCCCACCCAACAAATATGCAATCAATTTTCGTAATGAGCTCAACTTGTATTGACGAATGTGATCATGTTTCCCAGATAACGCCACCATAACACCAAAGTCAGAAAGAACTTCAATTTGTCGGAATCGGACGTTTCGAATTAATGGAACGGGTTCTAATCGAGGTTTGTTCAATTCGGTAAAGAAAAGACCTCGTTCACCTCCAATGAGAACAAATTTATTGTCAAGAACATCGGCAGTGTAGACTTCGAAACGGAGAATTCCACCCAATGCTACGGGGTTAAGCATGTCAGCACCTTCAAGAGTGAAACCGGGGAACTCGGCGGCGAGATCGGATTGTTGGATGAGAACAACGGGGGGTGCGACAAAGATTGGTGGTGGAGCGGGGACTGGTGGCAAGATACGTTCCTCTGATGATGCTGTTGTTGGTGGAGGAGCGGGAACACTTGCAGGTGTCTGCTGTTGAACTGATTGTTGCTGTTGCTGCTGTTGTTGGTATGCTTGCTGCTGTTGTTGAACTGCGGGTGGTACGTGTGCTTGAGCAGCTTGCGCCGCAGCCTGTGCAGCCTGCGCGGCATGCGCTTGTTGAACTTGCTGTTGAACTTGAGCCTGTGCTTGCTTCGCCTGCTTCATGGTTTCGGCCAATGTCTTTGCAGGTACTTCTTCCCTCTTTTCATCCTCCTCGTCATCATCGTCAACATCATATCCAGCCTTCTTCCTTTCCTTTGCCAGTCTTGCCTTTGCCACAAGTTCCTGCATAATCTTTTGACGGTTCAATGCTTTTGCTTTGGCCATGAATGGATGTTGAAGAAGTTGAGCTGCTGAGGGACGTTTGACGGGATCTTTTGTGAGACAGAGTGCAATAAATTCAACGAATGGTTTTGACCAGTTTTTGGGTTTTGCGAGACCGAGATCTGCGTCGGGGATCAAGTAGAGTGCGCGCATTGGGTGGATATCTGAAAGAGGTGGATTCTTGTCGGCTATTTCAATGGCAGTGATTCCTATTGACCAGATGTCAGCCTTGTAATCATAAGAGGCGTTTTGGGAAGATGGGCTTTCTGGATCTGTTTTGATGACTTCAGGTGCCATCCAGTATCTGCATGCAAACAGAAATGTTAGTCCTTTATTTGCTCTTTTACCAATAACTCGTCGCGTCGAAATCTTCCATAAGAAACTCACGGTGTTCCAATAAAAGTACGAGCTCTTCCAGTTGGGTTGTTAAGTTTCGCAGACACACCAAAGTCGGCTGTGGGAATGCAAAAGATCAGATTATTAAACCAAATGCCATGAGTTGGAAGCCTATGTACAAAGATAAAGCATTCACCATTTACTTACCAAGTTTCAACTCTCCACTTTCTGTCAACAGCAAGTTTCCTGCCTTGATGTCACGATGGATCAAGGCTACCTCGGTATGAAGATAGTCCAAACCCTACAGATCAATAAAGTAATTTTGTGTCAGAATGTAATTGGGATAAGAATGACCCACACAAACCTACCACAAGGGATTCGTAAACGATCGACGAGATTTGATCTTCGTTCAGCGGTTTTTTGATTGCTGTGGAGAGTGGTAATGAGAAACAACTCCATGCCTGAACAAG